CTTTAAAAAATAAATAAAGACAAAAAAAATAAAAACAAATCCGGGCAAATAAAGACAAATAAAGACAACTTTAGACAAATAAAGACAAATTTTGCCAACGACATACAAACAATAAGGTTTTGGGCCTTTACTTGTAAACTCTGTATAATCTAAACCCCCTCAATCTAGAACGCCGCAACCGGTCAAGGACCAAATCTCTGCAGATGCAAGGGTTGCAACACAGGCATCTTCGTTGCAACTTTTGGTGTCTTTAGCACTAAGCCACTAATTTTTACAGTATGGTATATTATGGTGTATTACTTTTTCTTTATAGGGTTTTAAACGTCTTCGGTCAAGGGTTCCTGCTGGATTCACTCCCTAGGGTTTTCGTCTTCGGGACAAGGTTCCTGCTGGATTCGCTCCTTAGTGTTTTCGTCTTGGGTTAAAGTTTCCTGCGGGATTCACTGTTTATGGTAGTCGTCTTCGGTCATTCACTCCTCAGGGTTTTCGTCTGCCGGACAAGGCTCCTGTGGATTGCCTCCTTAAGGTTTTGCCTTGGGTATTCACTCCTTAAGGTTTTCGTCTTGGGTCAAAGGTTCCTGCTGGATTCAATCTGTGGGGTTTTCGTCTTCTGCAAGGGTTTAGGTTAACCCTCAAACCAAGCAAGCAAGGCACAGGCTAGGCTCTTTTGCTTCACCTCGTGCCAAAGGGGCTACCAGTACACATTCTACAATGCGGTACTCAGAATTTGCTCTAATACCTTGACACTCCTCCATGGCCAGCTGGACAGACAGCCGGCAAGCTTCTCAAGGGTTGCAGTCTGTACACGGAACAAAGCCTCCAAGAACGGCATCTGCTCTTTGCAACTGGTTCGGTTTTTGGCCCAGGTAGAACTTGTTGCCATTGCGGGCAACGTAGACTTGGGCACCCTGCTCAAGACGTCGTAGGTCCGCGCCGCTTCCAGCGGAAGGGGCCGCCTCGCTGCAACACGCGACTCAGTGCGCCAAGCAAACACGGAATTGCAAAGATATATGAATGATCACCATGTAGATGAAGAGAGAGACACGTCTTCGCACTCCAGCTTGCGCTCCTTCGGCTGTCCCGTAGCCACACAAAAGGACGCGAACAGGCACGCCATTGACAGTGCCTTCGTACCCAAATCTGCCCAAGTACTCTTGTCGGTTCCTTCTGAACCTGGAGCTGATTCTTCTGGATTCTGGATGTTACCTTGCCGGAGCCTTTCCTCGTAGCAAATCCTTTGGAGGCACGTGAGTCGGTCTTCATCGTTAGCCCCTTGAAGCCGATTTGCTCCCAAATCTGGGATGTGAGCAGGCTTGCAGCTGCTCGTCTCACGAAGGCATAAAGCTCATGGTCTTAGTCCGTATAAACACCACAATTTCGTCAGGCTGGCAGGGGTCTGCACCTGGCGCGCAAACTCCAAAATGGCTCTCGCGGCCGCGCCATTGGAAGCATGCGATCCCTTGCGTGCTGTCTGATGCTGGACACTGCCAGTCTACTCCGGTGAAAACATGGCCGGACTTCTCATCCACGATCACAAGGATTAGAAGAAGTCCGTCCTTCTCATCCTCCGGCACCCTTATTTCGTCAACAGAGTTCACGGTGCTCTTCATAGCCCGCCGCAAAAAGCAATGGTCGGGAGCTGTGCCGGGCACTTCGGAAGCTCGCCCGGTGGACTCGCGTGCCGAATGAGCGTCTTCGCGCACCTTGCCTTTCATGCAGTGGTCGCACCAACTTCGCATCGGCAGGTGAGTCAACATATGTTCGTCATACTCGGCTTTGCTTACGGTATGGGGTCCCCGGCAACATCACCAACACACAGTAAAGCTGACATGAAAGATCCCGGTCAGCCAAGCTCGTTTTGGAGAATTTGGCTTGCTCCCGCTATCAATGCAACTCGAAGACGAACGACCAATCGCTGAAGTTCTCTTTCGTGGAGCCCTTGACAACCTCGGAATTCACTCCTTAAGGTTCGTCTTTCCTTGGGTATTCACTCCTTAGCGTTTCGCTTTGGGTATTCACTCCTTAATGTTTTCGTCTTGGGTTCACGTTTCCTGCTGGATTCAGTCCCTACAGGGTTTTCGTATCTGTAAAGGGATTGCCGAAACAACTGCATTATCACTGGCACTTGTGGCTTCCGCATGTCGACATAAGCTTAAGGCCAATTACAAACGGAACAGAGTGTAGAGCTTTGCACGGGATAGACAACAAATAGCAGCTTGATGTAAGGCTGTTGAGCGGCTTCAGGTAGGGGCCTGGCGAGTGGGGAAGTTGAAGCAACAGCCACCTCGAAGCTAGCTAGAGAGTCTTCTGGTTTGGGCCTCAAGCCACGCCCGCATGCTTGTCTGAATGAGCTCGTTACGCAAAGCCTGACTGCCGGCGGCAGGTGGGGCAGTGGGGGCAGGCGGGGCAGCTGGGCTTGTGGTACGTGGGGTAGGCGGGGTCAGTAGGAAAAGGGGAAAGTTACATCTGAGAAAAACCAAAATCTATGGCCTTTAGCCGCGTTAGCCGTTACAGTAGCCCCCTTTAAAGTTCGGAAGCCCTCCATGCACTGTCTCCGTTTCGCTTCTCTCCCGCTCGAGGCCGCGGCCCACATGTCGCGCTTCAGCCAATGGGTTGGGTCCTGCCCGCAGATCTGCGCAGAGCGGAGGGATCTCTCAGCTCGCAAGCCGCTGCTCCTGCGGATTGCCGTCGGTGTTCAGCTTCCACAAGGTGCCCTTGTAGAGGGGCGCCTCCAGAGTCCATGGAAGCTCCGCATGGCGAAGCTACTCCCTTTCCTTTGTTTGGGCCTTGCTGGAGGTGTCCTCGATGCGGTTCCGCGTGGTGCGGTCCACCTTCTCGTGCACCGGCAAGGGCGGCGCCTCCTGCCGCGACGAGGGGGCTGCCCCTCTACTCTGCCCCTCTTCTCCGACACCGCATGCGAATCTGAGCGGCTCCGAATGGCTGTGCTCCACGGCCGACGCGTCCTTGGCCACCTGCAGACGCATCGCTTCATGGCGTCAGATGGCGTCAGCCAGTCCCACGTCGGCAAGGCGCCTTCTCCTTGTCGGACTCCAAGTAGCTGTCCGAAAGGCACTGGGCCAAGGTCTTCCTCGGTGCGATCCGCGATCCGACGAGAGAAGGGAGAGGGAGATGGAGGCCTCTTTGTGTGATCACACACCAGCAGAGAGCCGATCAACATCTGGTGGAAGGCTGGATCGAACCTCAAAAGCTGCAGAGCAACACAGAGCTTGCGAACTCTGCGCTGCAACGCGCCTGGCAACACGCTTGGCAACTGAAAGGATCCGAGGACTCGACCGCTCAATGCTCTTGGGAATGGGTGCCTCGCTGGCCGAGCACGTCAACTCTGAACTTTGACTGCCGACTTCCTTCTTAATCCTTGAGACATCAGGTCCTGACACTTTGTTGCTAGAGAGCTCTGGTTGCAAGCATGGTCGGAGGATGGTCTTTTGAGGGTGGAGGCTGGTATCTCGCAGAGCGCTGTCTGCTCGGAGTCCTTCTGGCGCTTGATAAGAAGCTCCAAGGAACTTCCTTCTTCCCGCCCTCTCGCCGTCCTGCCTTGGCGATAGAGCCAAGCCAGTCCATGAACAAGAATCCAGCCTGCTCAGGAACTCCAGAACTCGACCCCCTTCTTTGCCATGCGCGCCTCTCGGTGGGAGTGGCCGTTCCGCAAGAAGTTGGCATACATGGGCTTCAGCACGGCCTGGAAATCTAGGGGAGCTCTGGCATTCCGGAGGGCTTTGCCGCTGAGCTGGGCTTCGTGCATCCAAGGTGGCCAGCTCGCAGATGGTCATCCCCACGCTCCAGACCTGTCTGGCGGGCAGAAAGGAAAGAGCAAAAGCACCGAAAACGGGCTCCGGGCGTCCAAGTGCGGCCTCACCGTGATCTTGGACCTCGTTTCGAGCAACGAAGAGAGAAGTGAGGGGAGAGTGAGGGGAGATGGCGGCGGCGGAAACCGGCGCGGCTGCTTCCGAGGCCGGGGCTCCGTCTCCTCGATGAGGAACCGGGCCTCAGAGGCAGCGGGAGCCCAGCGGAGCAGCAGTCAACGCAGCGCAGTCTGACGAATTTCTTCTCTTTCGAATGACTGAGAGAGAGGGGGGAGGAGTGTTTGGGGGAGGGCACAGTGGGCATTCAGAAAAGGAATCTGAATCGCAGAAGAGACTCAGAGAGAGAGAGAGAGAGAGCGAGATCTCTTCTGGGAGCCCGAGCCCACTCGGGCGCACAGTAACATGGCGAAAAGGAGATGGAGGAGTCCTCTCTGACAGCGGGTGGCCGTGAGGCTGTGCGACAGTGCAGGAAAGAGGCTTGGGGGCGGGGGGCCTGGATGGAGACCTCGCTGCCGCAGGGGACGCAGCCGTCCACGTCGATGAGCTTCAGCCGGCCTCGGAAAAACCGAGTCGGAGTCGGAGCTCTTGGACGGCTCTCTTCCTTCGCTCCGGGTTCTCTGGCCGTTGAACATCATCAAATTCTCGGGCTTCAGGTCCAGGTGCACAAGCCTTCGGCCAAAGCAGCTGGCGGCGCTGAAAAAGCCGCTCGCACGAAGCTCCCCGGACCCTTTGGCATGTAGACCCGCGACGACGAGGATGATCGCCTGAGAGGCTTGGAGCCGGCTCCCCCAAAAAAACTCTACACGGCGGCCGCAAGCGGAGCCGCGAGCCTTGCTGATGTTCTTCACCGCTCCTCGCCTCAGAAAGCAGGTCACTGCAGGTGAGGCGCTGAGGCGCTGATCAGCGGCGCAGCTCCGGCCATGGGTCCCCCGACGAGAGGCTTTTGCCCTGGTCTCTCCGCAGCGCAAGGTAGTCCTTCAAGCTGTACCTGCCGGAGTCGACTAGGAACATGCTCTAGCTGCTAGGGCATCCCTTAGAGTCTTAGAATCAGCATCGTTTCTGCTCGGGGGTTCCAACTGCGTCTACGTGACGTGCATGATAAAGTGAATCGGATTGTGACAGGGCTGGGCTTGACATTGGTCGCGCATTCAGGACTGCGGCAAAGCAATCTTCGCCAGTTTCCACAGTCAGGCAGGACGAGTGACTAGTCACTCACTAGTCACTAGGCACACATCCGTGATCGATATACAAATACATAAACAATGAATAACAATAATATTAATCATCATCATCACCATCATGGTAATAACCATGATATATATATATATGCATGCATGCATGCATGCATGCATGTATGTATGTATGTAGTATCTGTGCAAACAAATATATCAACAAATAAATCCATACATATGCATGTACAATATGATATAATTTCATGTAATATGATATAATGTCATATAGTATAGTATAGTATAGTATAACACAGTCTAGTATAATATACTATATATATACACACACATATATATATACATATACATATATATATATATATACGAGGTATGTATATATATATATATGAGAGGCGCCTCTAGGGTCTATTTGACGCCCTATTTCTTTCCTATACGATTAGTAAGAATATAAATAATTGAAATAATTGAAATCAGCAGGGCCGATTTAAAATATTTCGATTATTTAAAGTGTTTGGGCCACCCGAATAATTTAAATAATTGAAAGAATTGAAATCGGTGGGGTTTGTGGTTTAGCCACGAAGCCCACCGATTTGAATTAATTAAAACATTGAAATAATTGAAATCCGGCCGATTTCAATTATTTCGATTATTTAGATTATTTGGGTGGCCGAAAGAATCGAAATAATTGAAATCGGCCCCATTTCAATTATTTCAATTGTTTGGGTGATTCGGCTTCGGCCCACCGAACCACAGGATTTCAATTATTTCAATTACTTAAATCATTTGGATGGCCGAAAGAATCGAAATAATTGAAATCGGTGGGGTTTGTGGTTTAGCCACGAATCCCACCGGTTTGAATTATTCAAATAGTTGAAAAATTGAAACAATTAAAATCCGGCCGATTTCAATTATTTCGATTATTTAAATTATTTGGATGGCCGAAAGAATCGAAATAATTGAAATAATTGACATCGGCCCCATTTCAACTATTTCAAATATTTAAATAATTCAAATCCTGGGGTTCGGCGGCTTCGGCCCACCGAACCTTAGGATTTCACTTTTTTCAAACATTTAAATCATTTGGATGGCCGGAAGAATCGAAATAATTGAAATAATTGAATTCGGCGGGGTTTGTGATTTAGCCACGAATCCCACCGATTTGAATTATTCAAATAATTGAAATAGTTGAAATAATTGAAATAATCAAAATCCGGCCGATTTCAATTATTTCGATTATTTAAAGTATTTGGCTGGCCGAAAGAATCGAAATAATTGAAATCGGCACCATTTCAATTATTTCAAACATTTAAATAATTCAAATCCTGGGGTTCGGCGGCTTCGGCCCACCGAACCACAGGATTTCAATTATTTCAAGTACTTAAATCATTTGGATGGCCGAAAGAATCGAAATAATTGAAATCG